ACGCAGTTGTATTCGAGATAACAAAGCATTGCATAGATGTTCCCATTTAGCAGACTTGGTCACAGAAGCATATTATGAGGAAAATATTACCTACACTCTTTGTGTAACGGTGACATGGCGAAGCTTCACCATCCTTTACACACTTTCTGAAAATAAATACTATTATTATACATCTGTCACCGTAACGCCATAAGTTACAGCGTGTTGTAATTTTGCGGTATTTTCATCCTACCATATTAGGAAATTCCAAATATGGAATGATTACGCGCGTAAGCGTCCTCTAATGGTAACACTCTACGACATTCATTGTGATATTAACCTGTGTATACTTACACATGTATACGGTGCTGGAGAATCATAATTACTAGTACCGTTTTTGCGCCGACGTAAAAAATGTACTATTAAAATACAGATGTAAGCACGCTATACATGCGCATAATTACTTGACCAATAGTTTTCTTTGTACTAAATGATGACATTTTATTCGATATATGTGAATTCATCAGTATAAATGTAAACTTGTAAAAGTTGTCTGCAAAGCCTGAATTTAAGGTGACATGCCTACTATGTTTTATTTTTTAGATTTATCAACGGTTATGTTGACATATTGCCGTCATCTGCAGTGCACCTTGATGCTTGTGACAGTGTTGGTTATCCTTAAATGTCAATTAATGAGAGATATGTCATTTGACGTAACATACAATAAATCCAAATACCATCATTAAACATGACATGTGACTGCTTGAGCACATCTTTCAATCCGGCCGCTAGAGGGGGTTCGTTTCCCATAGGTTACAAATAACTGACTACTTCATCAGACAGATGAACCGTGGTTGAAAACTCGTCAAACATCTCTCAAGTTTAATAAGTTAAACTCGTGAATTTACATAATACTGAAGAACGTCAAACTAACAAATAGAGACGTTTAAGAAATAACGCATCAATGCATTCTGTGTTACTATTCTATTCTGTTAGAACCAACTGGTCAGTGCTAGACAAAAATAAAACCTGTGCATTAACCACAAAAAACTTGGCCAACGTAAGTGCTCAAGCCTAACAAGACCAATGGGGATGGGATGACAATGGGGTAGGTTCTTAGATGTATTTTCAGATACTTTACTCGACATGTTTCGTCTGTGAAGAGCATGCAGGTTCTTTGACTTTGAGTGAAACGCTAATAGCGTAGATAAAATGCTGGGCTTTACTATCACTATAATGTCTGTCTGTGGCGTAGGTGACAAACGCAAGTTTTTTTGAGACCGAGTGAAAATCAAGCACACTGCCTAGCCTTTTATCATTATAGGGGCTCTTCAAGAAATGCAAACTAGAAGTAGTCAGTTATTTGCAACAAGCTTCTCTGCTGTCTCCGATGTTAACATTAAGTGTTGGATCTGTTGAAAAATCCAGGCCCATGGAGATTTTTACAACAGAGTTAGTAGCAATTTTTATGTTTGCTGCTGTTTTGAGTCATAAACAAGGTGATATAAATATTGAGCTTTGATATGAACATGGGTCTTTTTGCACTCGGCGAATTTGAAATAGTACATAGGCTTACTAGTTCGGTAGCCAATCGCTGTCATGTAATTACACAGAAGCATCTTTTTTCAACCTTTCAGAATGTGAAGGCTGTGAGCACTTACTGAATTTATAAGCACCGTGATCTTCTGATATGGCAAGTATGCCAGAGATGGCGTGCACCATATTTTCCAATATTTGCCTTCGCATTCTTTTCCAAAAGCATCTGTGATGATCGTCATGCTTGTTTTGAGAGGTATTACAGAAACCATTTACATGAGATTGTTCATGATAGTCCAGGAAAAAGCATCCAGGAAATTACTTTTTCATAATGAGCACTGCATTTGATGGCTGAGCATAGTATAGCAACCATAAACTACCATAGTTGACCATGGTATTGAGTCATTTAACAAAACGTGGTTGATTATGCTTGACGAAGGGCATGGTAGTTGACTTTAATTGATGGTCGAATGCAGATTCATTTGCCAGGGTCAGAAATCTTACTCAGTAGCAGCCATATTACAGTACTTTCTTGCTGGATGGCATATATTCTTGTACTGTATTGAGGTACAGCACTGGGTACCAAGGAAAGCTTAGAAAGAACTCCCATGTGCTGCAAATATTAGAGACATATTAAAATGAATTAGCCTTCGAAGCAAGAATCTTGGCAACTAATATTTGGCTGCTATTTGGAATATAAAATGTAAAAACAATGTGATCCACATTATTGAAGTTACGGAAAATATATTTGATTTGACATCTGTGGTTTTCAGTCTAATTTATTCCAGAGCACCTCTACTGCTACAAGTTCAATTTAAATCAGATTTTTTGAGATGCCAGGAATTAGCTAATTAGATTACTTAGATAGTCAATATGTATGTTTTCCATTATTAATAACGTCTGTGGATCACCCCAGAGCATCCATGAACCAAATTTCAATGAAATGTGATGATTATGCACATTGTGTAAATTCGGCAATTAGTATTTGCTTCCAGAATGTCATTGATGCCTTGGAGCCTACTTTCATAGCTTCCTGTATATATTCAATACCTAGGATGATACAGTAGTTTTCACTACGCATCAGGAAAGCAGTGTGTCGTCAACAGATCTGCAATTTAGTCACTAGAACTAACACTTAATATGATTCATTGCCTGATCTTGACATCTTTGATCTATCAATAACTCTAA